CACGTCTTTCAGAGTCACTGCCTACACTATGTGATATGTTGGGATTAAAGTGAAAGAATAACTTGAATGTATCAAATGAGATGCATTGCTATGCTTTTTGCAGAAGCAAAGTCACACATGCACACACACACATACACATACATGCACACAAATGTTCGTTGATAATCGATATTTGTCATATGTGTGGCATTACATGATTAATTTTGATAGGGATGTTATTTGGATCTGCAATGACCAAATTCGTTCATTCCCAAATCTCAATTGTTTTATTCAAACATCAAGTCATAATTAAGCAACTTTGGTGCAAGTCTATTTTTGCACTCTCGCAAACAATGCCTCCTGTTCATCCAAGCGTGAACACATACCACACAAAAAAGATTTGTAATGATTCGGGATAAAATGTTCTTTCATAAGATGTTTAATAATTTACTGTTCATAGAGGACTTATAAAATAATTAGCAATTTTCTAGGTGTAAACTTTTTTTGACTCGCACTGCACTGTATAGACAGAAATAACCGTCTAATATGGGTCATTTCTTAAACTGACATTTGTTGACATTTCCCATATACAGACGATAACCCAGAGATCTCGTACCGTGGGGGTAATCTGGCCAATCCAGCTGCCACTTATGGTGATAGAGCTTTCTTCCCCGATTTTCACTATTTAGATCTAATTTTCTGATTTATAAATCAGATATAAATTAAGTATGTACTCCTATTTACACTAAATAATAATAATTGACCTATCATACAAATGCGAAATTTTTGGACTTACTTATATGGTTTATCCATATACCGTTCATCCATTCAAATTAGTAATCTATTACTTCAACCGGCCAATATATTTCCGGGTCAACCTACCAAAACATAGCGAATGGCCAATCAGAGCACTCGTTTCGTATTGGATTTATGAATATTCATATATCACTGGGTTGACTCGTACGTAGCTATTGGACGTTCGAAAAGAAAAAATGAATATTCATTAATTAAAACCAAGATGGATGACAACGAATCATGTAGACTACGAGACTTTCTCGGATTAGGCCTAATCATTAATTTAGGATATACACTGTAAATGAGCAATCTATCGTAAGTCAAAGCCATATTTGTTTGTTATTTTTTATATTTTTATTAGCCTAATGTAATATTGCAGCAAAAGTGCATTTATGAGGATGTAAAGAGTGAAAATCTCGTTGCATATCTCATTCATCACGGTCCTGCCGAACCAAACCATTTGATCCACTAGTACGGCATAGGCCGTACTTCAAGTCTATGTAAAGAGGCGGTCAGTGGAGCCAGATGCAATCTCAGCGGAACCACCGTCGATATCAGAGACTGAAGCTTTCGGTCTATGCACTGTACAGCTATGCCAACGTGACACACATTCTATACTGCACTGCGCTATAGTAGTAGGCCTACTACCGTACCCTGCCCAGTTACCGCCCCCCTGTTACCAGCGGCTTATTAGACACAATGGCCGTCTTCCATAGCCCCAGTTTCTGCGGTGCGCAATGAAGGCATGCAACTAACTTGCCTATGGCAGCATACACGTTGTAAAGAACGTGTTCCCGAAATATGGTACACTGTCGATCGCGCATTTAACGGAGATACACGAATGACGTCACTGTACAGTAGTCAGCAATGCGCTTATTTAGGCGCTAGTTCAGTGTAAAAATATGTACCGTGCGTCGTTCATGCTCTAACAGAGAAAAGGTTATCAGCCCGTGTTTTTTTTAGTCTATTTGTGTGTTTGTTTTAATTTATTTATAGGTCTGCGGTTGGTTTTTCGAAAGTGCACACTTCATTGTCTTTATTCCATGTTCAAACACTCGGTTTACTACATCAAATCGCAACTCGGGAGTATGAATTAGGATACACAAATACTATGAAACTACGTACGTACGGCCTGGAATGTTATAAAAGTTATTAACAGTTTGTAAATTGGGAATTCGACCACCCCTGTATAATATGTTGGCCTACAACATGTTGCAGATAAAATGAAGATCATAAATGAGATATCATGGTCCATGCAGGTGTCAAAATCTGCCGGACGGATTAAATTCAAATCTAATGGTCACATTATCTCACATTTCACTTTTTGATGAGCAATATGAACAAAATACATGTATCAATGTCATGTTGATAGACTTGAAATTTTGCAGGCCCACTTGCATGGTCTACAAAATAATAATAATTTTTTTAGTTGAGTTTACAACCAGAAAATAACATTCAGTTTAAATTGAGTAGCTGTTTATTTATTGCCCTGTGAATATTATATATGCGAAGGTTCTAGGTCAATTATCACCCCTTGGGCAATCACCCCTTGGGCAATCACCTCTTGGGCAATCACCCCCGGCCAATTATACCAGCGGTACAATAATTACCCCCAAGGACGATTATTACCCCCCCCCCCCCCCCCCCGAGGACAACCACCCCCGAGGAAGTTACCCCCCGAAAAAAAATCTTCTCAGTATAGGACAATTACTCCCCCCCCCCCCCCTCCTGAACAATTACCCCCCCCCCCCCCCCCCCCCACCTGAAAATGATCTCTCAGGGAATAATTTTCCTGGTATCGCATCGCAATTTGCTATGCATTTTTGCATGACTGCTATACAAAATATCTTTTATGTAGCAGTTTTCTTCCATAGAAATGTACAGAATTTCATTTGAAATATTTATCCATCGCCTGAAATTGCTAATCAAAAAATTTGAAGAAAATTATTCCCTGTCTCTCCTAAAAATTACCCAACTTATTATCGGTGTTGACTTCACCTCTAATGAACAGGGGGTATCGTCCTCGGGGCGGTTGTGCTTGGTTGTCCTGGAGGGGGGGTCATTGTCCTTTATAGGGGTTAAGTTTCAGGGGTAGGGGGTATTATTGTCTTCGGGGGTAATTTTTCGGGGGGGGGGGGGGTAATTGGTATTATGATAGGCGAATATGGTGGGAGGTCAGGATTGAAGCCCCCCCCCCCCCCCCGAAGAACATTGCAATGATGTTTGGCCGTTCGTTCGAGCAACCGACAATTGCAGGTAACGATGTGGTAATTTGTATTTTAATGTTCTAATCATGCAGTTAAATTTCGTGACAAAATAATGTTGCAAAAAATGCTTACAGTTCGGTTCTCCGACAGTGATCCCGATGACAATAATTAGGCTGGCTTTTAAAAAAGTTGCCAGGGTTGGTAGATTTGCAAAAAGTTTGTATTTATGTTCTATGTCGCTGAAGCTTGTGTCGCCTTTTAATCCAGCGTCTTGGCTTTGTAGCGAAAAAAAGTGCTTGTTTCAATACAGGATGCATGCAGAGGATTGATGTATTAGTTTTGTTTTATATTATATACCGAGTTTATTATAGTCTTTTTAATTTATTCCCTCAATTTTCTTCAATTACACCCCTCCTTTCCCCCATTTTTCTTTAGTCTCCCTCCTCACTTTTTAAATCCTTCTTTCTTAATGCTTCGATACTGTAGGCAATGATTAGTTTTCTATCTTTTTTCAAATGTTTGTGTGTTATCTATTTTTACCAACATGACCAACATGGACCATGACATTTTTGCTGCCATAAATTTCCCTCGGTTGAATGTGAATAAAATAAATATAGGGGTAGTAACTAAAGTGCCAAATTTAGAGAAGGACAATTTTCGGAGGTAACTTTTGCTTTCAATCCACAACCAGAAAACTTTTTTTTAAGGTCTCCTTTACGTACATGCCACTGAAATGCAGAAATTGCAGAAATTTAGTTGTTCTCGGTAATGTCAACAAAATACTTAGAGACTAGCTTTTAACCCTCTTTGGTTTTTGAAGCGGCAAAAACGTGAAGGTGACGCCCCACCACCCCTTTTGCATTATTACTACATTCTTTTGCAAAAACTGACTTGCCATGGAAGTGAATCGACGACTTCGTTTTCAAGATCATTTCGGTAAATTTAGTCTTTGAAGTTGGACTATATTATTGAATGCTCAAATACTGCATAATTTAGAACAACTAGAAAACAAAAAACACAACAACTTGAAGTCTTGAAGAAATAATCAAAGTAGAAACCACATTTGCGTCACATAAGCCTACCCTAAAATTGTAATGATGATTAAGAGGATGTTGGCGATGATGATAATTCTAATGACGATAATGCTAGATGCTTTTCCAACCAATATCATGCAGTGCCTAAAAATATACGCTAATTTATTTTGTAATCAAGATTTGAGTGATGTCCAGAGTTTAACAAAAAATAAAAAACGAAGTGCCATTACTTTCTTTTCCAAAGTGTTCACTTTAATAGTGGCTATAGTTTTTTTTAAATAATTCTTTCACCCATTAATAGTGGTTAATTTACAAATGTTGTTATTGTGATTTTTTTTCCCTCTCCCAAGGCCAATTACACTCAGATTTTATTGATTACCATAGATATTAAAACATTAAAAGACAAGTTGCAGGGTTTTCCAAAGGCAGTAACAAAATTGTTTTCCCAGATCAGGCAGGTGAATAACAGTGAACTGGCATTGTTAGTAGGCCTAGATCTACAGTGGCAAAAGAAGAAATGAAGAAAGAAATATCAATTATCAAAATAACATGTAGATCGAATTCTACTGGGAAGCAATTTTATTTGGCCTAACGTGTAGCCGAGACGTTTCCTTTTTCTATATTTTTGATGCGCGCCCACCATCGGGCGGAATTAAGGCGGGTCTAGGCGGAAATAGGCAAGGAAAATGCCTCACGCAGACGGCGCACTTCGTACAATCGCTAACGATTTCAGGCATAAGATTGGCATAGATCTAGTTGGATTTGGTAGAATTTCGGCTTCAAATATAGCGCCTGTATAATTCATTTTCAGAGAAGTTATCTGAGAAAAACTGCCTATCGGGCGGAAACCGGGCAGGGTACGGTACCACTACCAGCATACAGTTCTTGCAAGAATCTTCAACAAGATCTGAAAATGTGAAGGAGGCAGATTGCATCGTAAAAATAGAAGATGAAGAGAGTCTAGACTAGAGTCTACTCCACTCACCGAAACTAAGTTGTTGCTTATTCTAATTTCTGATAGCCGGTCCCGTCAAATGCCAAGTAAGTGCAGACAGCAATTAATCTGCAGATGGTACTTCAATTCAGAAGATGTTCTCCAGCTCCACTCACAATTCCACTGCAGCTGCACGACAATGATCTACGGAGATTCGGACCGGACCGCACCACGCGCACGAGATGAAATTCTCTACCTAGACTAGAGTCTACATCAACTGATCAATGTATCTAGACCCTAGACTATACAAACAATTATAAAGGCAAAGACCATAGAATTTTTAGAGATGTATCAGATGGTTGCCCCTGAACAAACAGCAACTTGAAGAGAATGAATATGACCGAGTCACAATTGACCGACCGCGAGTAATTCATGCATACTATCGTGTACTGAATAGACTGCGAGAGGGAATTTTCAATTTGCACGCGCACGTTCACATTATATTAGTGGACTGCATGTATGCGGTCACTTTTGAAGCAGTGCGCATGCGCATCGACGAGCTCATCGTTCGGAACGCGTTCGCCCTTTGTTTTGCCGTCGTTCGCAAACTGTGAAGGTACATGTTCGTAAGCAATCTTCTGTAGGCACGAAACCCGGCACGAAACATCACATTGAAGTCACAAAATGGACCCAATTGACCTAAGGCCATGTAAAAAATATACATGTTTAGCGCAGGCGCGGATCCAGGGGGGGGGGGGGGGGGGCCGAGCGGGCCTTGCCCCCCCCCCCCCGCAAAAAAAAAAAAAAAAAAAAAAAAAAAGAGAGAGAAGAAAGGAAAAGAAGGGAAAGGGAAAGAGGAGAGAAAGGGAAAGAAAAAAGAGGAAGAAAAAAGAAAAGGGGAAAGAAGGAGATCGGGGGGGGGGGGCCGAAAGAGCCTTGCCTCCCAGGCTACGGATAGGGGGGGGGGGGCTTGGGGAAATCAAATTCAAACGTGGTTTCTTTCTAATTCCACAACGGTGGATTACAAATAATGCTGAAATTACTTAATTTCCGAGATTTTTCCTCACTTTTTAGTAAATTATACGTTTGTATGTGTTTGTTGGAAAATGACAAATTCCTAAATTTACAGCCAGGCAAGAAATATGATTCTTGATATTCCTACATGTCAGGGCCCGAGGTACGGCAGGGATCGGGAGCCTCGAGCTCCCTCCCCCCCCCCCCCTACACTTTTTTTGAAAAAGTATATTAAAGAGAAATAAAATAGAAAGAGAGCAAGAAAGAGAAAATAGTTAACTACCCGTGTTAAAAAATAATGAGGCATCAAAATATGCTCATCTGAACTGGATTAAATGCCTAAAACCCCTAATCTTCCGGGGGCTCTGCCCCCATGGACTCCACCTATAGGGCCCTACGGGGGCCCATAGATGCTTATCTGACGGTAATTTAATGCCTAAAACCCCTGATTTTGGGGGGCTCTGCCCCTGTACCCCACGCCAACAGTGTCCTGCCAGTGTCACAAATTAATAAGGTATACAAAAAAAAATGCTCATCGGACCTTAGTTAAACGCCTAAAACCCCTGAGCTTCCGGGGCCGGCTCCGCCGTCTCGACCCCACCAGGGGCCCTAAGGCGGGCCCCTGAATGCTTATCTGACCGTAAGTTATTGCCTTAAACCCCTGAGCTTGCGGGGTCGGACCAGGTATCAAAATGTGTTAATCGGACCGCAGGCACGTAGCCAGGGGGGGGGGGCGTAGGAAGAAAAAGGAGCAGACAAAGGATATCTTTGAAATTCAGAATCAAGAACGGTACAGCAAATCGTCTTCTTTCTCTCTTAATCTTATGAAACGTCAAAGCTTCCGCGCTTTGCGCGCGGGAGGGGGGGGGGGGGGGGAACCTGAATTCAAATGAGGATTCAGAGGCGAGAACTATAATACGAATCTTTAATGATTTAATGAAACAAAAGCTTCCGCGCTTTGCGCGGGATAGAGGGGGAACTAAATTCCGACGTGGATTATTTTCGAGAACGGTACAACGAATCGTCTTCTTTCTCTAATGATTTAATGAAAATTAAAAGCTTCCGCGGGAGGGGGGACCTGAATTCAGACAAGGAATAAGAGTCGAGAACGGTACAACGAATCGTCTTCTTTCTTTAATATTTTGATGAAACGTCAAAGCTTCCGCGCTTCGCGCAGGAAGGGAGGGGAAAAACTTAATTCAGACGAGGATTAAGAGTCGAGAACTGTACAACGAATCGTCTTGTTTCTCAAATGATTTAATGAAACGTAAAAGCTTCCGCGCTTTGCGCGGGAGGGGAAAAATCTAAATTCAGACAAGGATTATTTTCGATAACGGTACAACGAATCGTCTTCTTTCTCTAATGATTGAAAGTAACTTAAAAGCTTCCGCGCTTCGCGCGGAGGGGGGGGGGGGACCTGAATTCAGACGAGGATTAAGAGTCGAAAACTCTACAACGAACCTTCTTCTTTCTCTAATAGTTAAATAAATCGTAAAATTTTTCGCGCTTTACGCGGGAGGTGAAAAACTTAATTCAGACGAGAATTTTTTTCGAGAACGTTACAACGAATCGTCTTCTTTCTCTAATAATTTAATGAAACGTCAAAGCTTCCGCGTTTCGTGGAGGAGGGAGGGGGAAACTCGCCCCTCCCTGCACCGACCCCCCCCCCCCCACATTACGTCACTGTTGGTCACCATTACGTACCAATATTTGGCTCGCAAAATTTCAAATTTGGCCCCCCCCCCTAAGAAATCCTGGATCCGCGCCTGGTTTAGCGTCCCAGCCCGCTTCCTTTTTGGGGGACGCCTCCTATTTTTTTGATTTTTTTTTGTTGAAATTTTTTTTTTTTGGATTTTTTTTGGATTTTTGTTGGATTTGGATTTTTTTTTTTAAAGAAAAAAACATGAAAAACACTGCTAAATGGATCTATTTCTGATTTTTTTAAAAAAAAAAAAATGTCGGCGGCCATTTTGAAAAATAGCCCGATTGTGAGGGAAATCATAGAGATATATACTTAATAAGGCTAGTAGTATATATCTCTATGGGGAAAATGTACCGAGCGGCCATTTTGAGCGGCCATTTTGAAAGAAAAAAAAAAAAAAAAAGGGCCTCCTCCTTCCTATTTTTCAAAAAAACAGGACGCTAAACATGTTTTTTTTTTATTTGGCCTAATTCTAGAACCCGAGAGTGGTGGAAGCGTGAATTCTCTTAAATTAACACATTTTCGTATCTGTAATCAAAATTGTTGCAGATAAATTCATAAAATGAACACATTTTATTTATACATCGCCAATTTGTTGCAGCATAATTTTCGAGATCAGTCCCATGCATGCACCGAATTTGGTGTGTTGAATCTTTAGCTTTTCGATCGAAATTCGCGCTCACTAAGCAGAATAATTCATAAAATGAACACATTTTATTTATGCATCGCCAATTTGTTGCAGCATAATTTTCGAGAAAAGTCCCATGCACCGAATCTGGTGTTGAATCTTTAGCTACTTGATCGAATTTCGCGCTCGCTGTGCGAGCGTCGTAGTTGTGTAAAATCGAAAAGGTAACGAACAGCAGTCAGCGTGCCTCGTCAACCTGCTTAAAAATAACAGCATACGTCGAAGTCCACAGGCGCGGATCCAGGATTTTCCAATAGGGGGGGGGGGGGGGGGGGGGGGGGGGGGGGGGGGGGGGGGCCGAAATTTTTTAAATCGCATAGACCAATACTTCAACTTAACATATAGTACTGACAATGTCATAGCACCTTACCGTTACCTACAAGCGGGCACAATTTTGGAGAGGGTGCAGGCTCGCGTCATATTATGTTGTCCGATATCAACATCCGCCTTTTTTTAAATTAATGCCTTTTTTCCCCTACCGCGCGAAGCGCGGAAGCTTTGACATTTCATTAAATTATTAGAGAAAGAAGACGATTCATTGTACCGTTCAGACCCCTAGTTCATGTTTCGCCCCTTCCGCGAAAAGCGCGGAAGTTTTGACGTTTCATTACATCATAGAGAAAGATGACGATAATTCGTTGTACGGTTTTTTTTTACTCTTAGTTCATGTTTCGACGTTTCATTACTTCATTAGAGAAAGAAGACGATTCGTTGTACCGTGTCCCTGTCTGAATTCAGATCCCTCCTCCCGCGCAAAGCGCGGAAGCTTTGACGTTTCATTAAATTATTACTCTTAATACTTGTCTGAATTCAGTTTCCCCCCTCTGCGCGAAGCGCGGAAGCTTTGACGTTTCGTTAAATTATTAGAGAAAGAAGACGATTCGTTGTATACTGTTTTCGACTCTTAATCCTTGTCTGAATTCGTTTTCCCCCTCTCCTACGCAAAGCACGGAACCTTTCTTTGTTTCATTAAATTATTAGAGAAAGAAGACGATTTGTTGTACAGCGTGTCCTTGTCTGAATTCAGATTCCCCCCTCCCGTGCAAAGCGCGGTAGCTTTGACCTTTCATTAAATTATTAGAGAAAGAAGACTAATTGTACTGTTTTCGACTCTTAATCCTTGTCTGATTTCGGTTTCATTAAATTATCTGAGAAAGGAGACAACTCGTTGTACCGTTCTCTACTCTAAAGCCTTGTCTGATTTCAGTTTCATTATATTATCAGAGAAAGAAGACAATTCGTTGTACCGTTCTCTACTCTAAAGCCTTGTCTGAATTCAGTTTCCCCCTCCTGCGCTTCGCGCGGAAACTTTGACATTTTCATTAAATTATATGAGAAACAGGACGATTCGCTGTACCGTTCTCTACTCTTAATCCTTGTCTGATTTCAGTTTCATTAAATTATCAGAGAAAGAAGACAATTCGTTGTACCGTTCTCTACTCTAAAGCCTTGTCTGAATTCAGTTTCCCCCTCCTGCGCTTCGCGCGGAAACTTTGACATTTTCATTAAATTATATGAGAAACAGGACGATTCGCTGTACCGTTCTCTACTCTTAATCCTTGTCTGATTTCGGTTTCGATAAATTATCAGAGAAAGAAGACGATTCGTTGTATCGATAGTAGTATGTATGTACGTTTAGTCCCAAAATATGATTTATGATATTATCGATTAATCGATTAATATGAAATCAATAATCAATAAATATGAAATGTGGATCGATAATTATGGATCAATAAAATCGATAATATGAAATATTGATTAATTAAAT